TTGAAATCGAAGCATTATTTCGACTAGTTATACGACACAGACACAAAAAAAAAAAAACACACATCATTGTAAAATCAACACATTCATCACTTCGTTCAGAATCTAAAATATTTAGGGTTTTATTTCCAAAAGTATAATTTACAATGAAAAAATTATTTAAAAGTTTACAAGAGTACCTATTGCTTTTCAAAATGCATGTGAAATGCAACACATAATTAAATAAATTCAACAACTTTATACACATTATTGTTTTTAGATGATATAATATTTAGATCAATKTATTCCTTGCATGAAAGAATTTTTAATAGTAACACATGAAAAAATCTCCACAAAACACGCGTGTTACAGACGTTTCTCATAAATTAATATTCCAACCAAACCATACACACAACCCCATAACTTTTTTGGCCCAGGTATATGTCCCATCGCTGTTTAATACATGGACAAAAACCTTATAGTATCTATCTCACGGAAAAAGTTAAACCAAAAAGTTTTAGTTCCCCTTCGTGATAAATCATTTGTTTTTTTATTATTACCTACTATTATTATTCCTCATCKCTTACCATTTTTTCCATACTTTAGTATCCAACGTTATAACTATAACACATATTATATAAATTATATTATACGGGGTAATTCACTAAGTATGGAAACTCAAATTTTTTTCCACCAACAATGTATTTATTTGAATTTTGATTTTAGATATTTTTACGTATTTGCAGTTGATTTATTTATATGAAAGAACAAAACAATTTATCAAAAACAACTAATGTTTAACTATGACTATTATAAATTTCTTGTTATCTAGTAGAATATTTTTTGAGGGGTTCTTTGATACATAAAAATTTAATTTTTGATGATATAAATTATATGATTTAAAAGAATTATAAATGTATATAGAATAGACRTGGTATAGAGTAGCTAGTGTGTTCAAAAAAATGTCGGTTAACTACAAAATCGGTATGCACAAATGAGCTTTAAATATATAGGAAATAAATTAACAAATTGTATTTTATACATTAAACATGTTCTTAATAATAATATGCTTCTGAAAATTAAATTAAAATTTAAGTTGTCGTTTAAAAAAATAGAAAACTGAAATTGTAAATATATAAATCTTTTTAAATGTTGTTTTGAAGTGTCTTAAATTATGTATAGAACCTAACTTGAAGAACATTAATTGTGTTTAAAACAGTGAGTGTTTARTGTAAAATCACTTGGTGTGAGTATAGTGTTGACCTTATAAAACTTTTAAAAAAAATTAGTTTTAAGGGGTTTTATAATTTAAAAAGTATGGTGATACACTATTTTTTTTGTAGAGCTGTAAAATKTTTATATTGGTAGCTTAATTAAAAAAAAAAAAATTAAATTATTAATATCTATCAATTTTAATTGTTAATTGTTTGAATTAATTATTTTAGATGTCGATGCAATCAATTTAAATTCGAGAATTTCGAGTTGATTTAGTTCTTAAAATTTAAGTATTAAGAATAATTATTTATACTCTATGAAAATAGTATTAGAAGAAATTTGGACTATGATGGTTATTACTAGATTATTATATACATTTTTAAATGTTATAATTTTTAATAATCATACAAATTGTTATAAATAAGAATTATAAAAAGTGCTATAGTATATGTAATATTACTTTTAAAATAAATTAAAGCTAATATTCAGAAATTATTTGTTTAAGTTTTGATGTATCAACATTAAAAAAAAAAAAAATCATTTGCTTAATAATCATTTAGAGTAGAAAAAGATGGTTTTTGGTTTGGAAAAAATAACTTTATTCTTCAAAAAAACATTATTTAAATGATTTAAACAAATTATTCAAAAATGTTGTGTATGGAAATTCCTATAATTAAAAATTGTACTATGAAATAGTACTGTTTCTCGTTGGCAAACCATCCTACAATTAATATTGTATTATTGTGATAATTAAAGAAATGTATTTAACAGGAAAATAATTTTAAAAACTTTTATTTATTTTTTTTTTTATTAATTAAAGGCTTCAAATACAATGTTTATTAGCCTACAATGGTTTACATGTTTAATTTATAATATAATGGAAATTGATAGTTGTGATGTGCTGTCTTTGGTTCTTGTCTTATATGTTGGTTGTAAAGTCGGCCATCTTGATGAAGTTAACTATGTTTTTTTCTTGTCCTGGTCCGAGTGCGTCTTTGAATGAGGAGGTGTTTATTTTTGCTTTTGATCTAGCGTTATGGTAAGTGGGGCATTCTAGGAATATATGTTTAACGGTGAGTTCGCAGTTGCATGTTTCACACCTGGGTTTGAGCTCTCTACGCATAAGATAAGAATGGGTGATTCTGGTATGTCCGATGCAACTTTTATTTTATAATTGCTTATTATCCTTTTATATATGGATTTTTTGTAGACAAAATAAAAATATTATATGTACCTACGTGGTAAATATTGACACCATAATAATATTWTGTTACAGAGTAAAAATAAAGTTCGTAATTTACAAATAGGTAGAAGTAATTGTTATTTTCATACAAAGAATAGCGAAAGTTTACAGAAAATCAATGCAATATGATAGTCTATACTTAACACCAGAACCATTAGTTAAAATATGTACAAAATTTGTAGTATTATCAGATAAATCCAAGACAATTCTAAATGTATTTTTGAATCTTTAATTTCTTGTATAAAATATAAAACTTAATTTTTAATCTTTTTTGTTAATTCACTAAGTACATTTTCACCATTGCAGGAGATCAACAAGCATAGCAGTTAATTAGTGACCATTTTCCATTGTTGATTAAGCATACCGTGTTTTCAGGAAAATTGAATTTACATTATGAATAAACTAGAGAAATACTATCGGTATAATTTTATCTGTATACCCAGTAAATAGTTTGCTCTTCGATGCATATTTCATAGAGGAATAATTATAGTGTAATATAGTATTAAAATCATGCGCACGTCTCGAAGGCAAATTTCTAAAATTGTACCACCGTCAAGAACTCAATTAAAAAAAATAAAATAACGAAATAAAAGGATATAAAGGGAAAAAAAATAAAAAAAATTAAGTTTCCTGTTTATCTATACATAAGATGCTTTTGTGCGTATAATAACGTCACGTAGCGAATAGTAATGGGTATAAAAATAAAGGAGAAAAAAACGTACTGTTGTCTAAAAATTGGAACGCCGTGCACAGGACATTAGGCATAATCTTGTAGTTGGTTCGTTATAATAATATATTAACTTTATCATTCTCCAGATGTTTTTCGTTTGCTACACCTTAAAGACAATTTTTTTATAATATCAAGAACTTAATACTAAGATAAATAAAAAATGTTTTCTTCAAAAACGCAGTAAACTATTTTAACACTTTTAGAATAAAATCAAAAGACGGCGTTGTGTGTATGCAATTTAGTTACATAATTTAAGTAAAATACGAAATATTGATGTATATTGTATATTTTAATTTTTAATCATAACATTATTTCATTATATTAAAGCAATATTGAATAAAACAAAAAAATTAGATTTTTTACCATGATGATATTATAATGCAATATTTTTTTCCCTTTAACAATGCATGTTAACAATGCATTTTTTTATCAGAATATTAATGTTAAGGTTTTTGGTATTGTTTCACACGTGGTGTCRAACAGTTTTTTCTTAATAATATTATTTGACAAAAAAAAAACACCCTTTGCCTATAACAATTTTTTTTGCCTCATCCGGACGTGTCCTCGGAAATGCATGGTGACACTATTTAAATTAAATTTTAAAACTGTGTATGTCTTCTTTGAAGGTTCTAAATCAAACGATATTAAACTTTCAAGAGATTTGACGCTTGGCTGCTTTACGAAGTTCTTCACTCAGCAGTAATTCGTGATTATTTTTAAGTTTTCATTACTTGAACGGTAGTTTATATTGAATTTTATGCAGTTTATAAAATTTCTTTCTCACATGGGTGAATAAAATTTAAAAATATATCCATTTCAGAATAGAAATTTTAAATTATACTATCATAGAATTCAATAATAGTGCACCTACTATATTAGATTTATTTTTATTTTTATTCATTATGTTTGATGAATATTGGATTGAAATATTAATAGATTTTATATTGTATCTTATACATTTTATACTTTTGTTTGTTTTATATATTTTTGGAATTGGTTTGTAAAGTATTTTTAATACTTATTTCACTTTACCTATTTTACCTTACTTAAAATTTTACAATATTTCATAAATTTATGTTAGAAACTGTTCTCAAGTAAAAATAAAAGTTATTAATTTATTTTGTTAATYGCTACAACAAATATAATATAACATAATGTGTATTGATAAAGCAGGATTTAAATTAACTTCCAATGCTTGATAACAGTATTTTTTGACGATCTCGTGATCATCCAATATAATGTGTTGATTTCTATCTTTTTTAGTATTACGGAATAAACACTTATACCGACTGTATACATAATATAGTACATCGACCTATAAAATACAAATAACGGCTGTATGGTTAGAATTGTGATACCAAAGAAATTTAACTGCATTTTGGTTGACACGTTAAGCAGGTAATCTTCATTTCAACTATTCGATTGTTTCTGTTGGGGTGTCCTAAAAAGGCTTTTCGGAATAAATCGAGAGGTCAGTTGAGAGTTGTGTCATAGCGTGAGAATGAAGAAATGTCTACCAACCGTATATTTTTATCGTTCCTATATTTACTCATAAGTATTTACGATTTACGCACATTTTCATTGTATAAAGATATTCATTATATAACTTATATTCGCGTAAAATATAAAATATAATTATACCAATTTATTATTTATTTTATGAATATTATTAAAGTTATCTTCTCTCATAATATAGTAGTATTAGTACAATATTTTATTGCAGGTGATCATTTTTAAATATAAATGCTATCAATGACTGATAATAATAATAATAATAATAATAATAATTTGGGTTAAAGGATTTTACCATCTTGCAAAAGTATAAAAATTACATACCTTTGAAATAATATTTTTTACAGTTCTTTTTCAATAATCTTCTTTYCTCTGTCACATCATGTAGTGTTGAGTCTTTTTCAAAGATCGGCCCCTGTCAAAAAACAAAGTTTTGTATAATACTCAACAAACTAAAAACAACTAAATACWTATATTTATACATATATTACAAAGTTATATCGATACGTGTATATCGTATATTTATATTAGACGTTATGCATTAAATGCGAAGAACAATATAATCTACCAAGGTCCTTCAATTTTGTACAATCATTAATCTCGATTAACGTTGATTCCCTAACGTTTTCCCACCCGAACAGTTTTCGGGTATTTTAACAAAATACCCGTCTCTTTACTGAAAGGAGCACCTCCCTTGTCGTTGTCTCATCCTTGCCTTTTCGATGCCACCAAAAGGTCAGCTCATTAATTCAAAGTTGTCTTACGCCCGTCCAAACGTTAAACAAGCGACCAATTTACGGTGTGGCCAAATCGTGAAAATTCAAAATCGGTTTATTGTTATCAAAGCTACCTAAAGTCTTCTCAGCGTTAGAATTAATGAAGAAAGCAAAGCAAAATTTTCTAACTAACACATGAAAATCAAAATCATTAAAATTGTTCTATGGTAACAACAATTTACTAAAATATCATCACATATTTAAATATATACAAATAAAATACTTTGATAAAATATTATTTTTATATTATAGTATTATACACAATTTTATATGAACTTATATTTTAATAAGTTATCATAAAGTTTTTGTATAATACAACTTTATAAAAATCTGAATAGTATTGATTTTTCTATTACTATTTTTTGAATAAGTAATTAAGCCTTCTTTATGGATTGATATAAATACATTTATTTCATCATAATAATACAAAATATTATATATACCCAATTAAAATGAACATAAAAATAGATTAGGTTATCTATGATCATTTCATAGAATAAATTATTGAATGGAACACTCATCCGCCTATACATACAAATCAGCCTAAAGGACGTCAAATTTGTCAATTTTTCTTATAAAAATGGCTATTTTAATTTTGAAAAGTTTTACATGGTTTAGGATAAAATCTTGGTCATAAATTGTATTTAAAAAAAATTGTATATTAACCAGTAACATTTATAAAAATAATCAGTACAATTTAATCATAACACCACTAGTACCAGTGTTTATTAAAGTGCAAAATAATGTACCGAGATAAATTGGCACATATCCAAAATGCTTTGATTAGGGTAAAGGATGTATGGTTTTCACGCAGTAATCTCTAAAGTTATTACTTGGCAGTTTATTATATTAATTGCGTACTTACGTTGGAAATTTTTTTTACACCTTTACTGAGAGTATCATATTATAATGAATTAACATGATAAAAATAATATGCTGACCACAGAATTTTACTGTTTTCCAATAGAGTGAAACAACAAAAGTAAGCGGGGAGTTTGCTTGACTGTGTACAGTAGGTGTCGAGTGTTCCTTGAGATTTAATGACTTAATATAATGCATGTGTTAAATTTGAATTTAATGATTAATCGTTGTATAGAAAAAACGATTTCGAACGAAGACCGTCTGTTGAATGTCATCTTATATTTTAAAAGATATTTAGGACTCTCAGGATATTTAATTTTATTATAATATATTTATATTTGTATAAGTAATTTATTTTTCTATTAAATATTTGGTAGATGGAATTTATTTTTTAAAAAACATCACCTATATTATACTATTAACTAGATGTCYTGACACGGMGTTGAGCGTGTATTGGTTTCTATTTTCGGCATTTTTGTAGGACGTGTGTTTTTTTWWAATTCTAATCTATGAAATATTTATATGCTTAAGTACCTACATACATTTATTCGTTAAAAACTTTAAATACTATAACTTACTTTTCATTAAATACAAAATAATATACCATACAAAATGCATCTTGCAGTTTTGAAAAAAGTGAAAACAGTAGCTATTTAATATTTTAAATTTAAATATTAACATAAATTTAAAACAGGATACAAATGGATTTTCTTGATATTTTTTTAATTTTATAAGGTTTATGTATAAAATTCTATACCTATTATTTTCGATCTCATTGAACATTTTAATGTGGTTATTGCTGTTTTATAAAGTTGTAAGTTTGCGGGTCATATTTTTCAAAAATCATGAAATATTGAAACTTTTTTTTTAATTCGTGACTTAGAATTTTTCCTCGCTTGTTTTCTATAACATCAGTGCATTGCGTGTGTGACTACACAAAATAAACCTACCTGTGTCATAACAATGGCAAAAAAAAGGTAAGTGGTCAATTCGATAAAACTTTTCATTTATTTTTGTTAAACTTCAATACACTTTTATTAGGCATACATATAATAATATGTAAATATGTATTTGTAATATTATATAGGTACCTACCCTTAATTTATCCGAAAATGCCGTGACCATTTGATTATAATTGGTACCCAACCAGGTCAATGGTACCCAGTTTTGGGAGTTSTACTCATAATTATACGTGTATTGACTTTCATGATGTAATCTAAAATTAAATTGCTTGACCTAAACGATTAATTATTCAGTATGTAATACAGATGCTATTAAAAATATTTTGCAATTTTTAAGTCAGCAGTAAAACACATTGACAAATCGAATTAATTAATGAAAATACCTTCGTAACCCGGTTAGCCTGTTCTACAGTATTCAACTAATCCTTCTCCCTTCTAAATAAATAAATAAATAAAAAAATAAAAAATAGTGTTTATTAATGAAATGATATTGTATTATGAACAGTTTATTATAATGAAATAGTTTAATCACGATAAACTTGTTGCRCAAACATTTTGATATTATTTTTATTTTCATAATATATAATATAATATAATAATACAATAAATGTAATGTAATTTTATAAGCATTCATATACCTAGTTAATTAAATCATATTTGTAAACAATAACGTATAGTTTTTAACATATTAAACGTGTTACGTGAATTGTGCATTATATGAACAACATTCTGATGATTGTGTATAAAATATTACCTATTATAACAAATATGTTTTAAGTTGAGAAAAATTAAACAATATGCAGGCATCTAAATATATATTATACATATATCAATACTTATTTTTAAAATGTATTTATTGAATTGTATTATTGTTTTAACATATTTTCTGTTTAAACGTATGGTAAAAAAAAAAAATTTAGAACATCGATAGTCTTACCTATGCTTAAAAATACAGTATTACTTTTCTATATACATTAGGTAAATATTTTATTTTTTGGTATTTCTTTTCATTTTTACCTTAACATTAAAAATCATCGTGATGCGAAAAAAAATGTTAAGCAAATGTTCATTGTAAAAATGTATTGTATTAGTTAAATTAAATTAGTTTCAAAGAAAAAAAATTCTGGTTCATCGATTTCATTACTCATTATCAAGTAACAAAATATAGCACTCAGTTATTCCTTAAAATGTTATTATTATAATTGTTTTTTTTTTAGGTTTTATTTTTAAAATATGTATCAATATGATAAAAAAAAAATTGGATAGGCAGGTGTAGTGCAGATTTATAAAAACATATAATACAMAAGAACAGTTATTACTAAAATTCTCAAGTTTAAGAAAATCAGCTTTAATTATATTATGCAATGGTATTGACATGATTTTATTAAAATATATTGTGACATTATTCACAACTAGTTGTTAAATTATATTGTGGACCTTTTGTATTAAATATTTATAATCAACTCAAGCACTTACACAACATTTTTATCTGTAGTTAAAATTATTAAAAGCAATAAAAATTGTATCCAAATATTTAATATTAAAATAATAATTTTTTACTTAATATTTCTATTTTTAGCTCGAACATATTATTTTGATTACTATACTTAACAGGAGTATAATTTAACTGTATTATTGATATAATATCCAACAAATTTACTGTGAATACTTTGGATATTTTTCGCCGTAAATTATGTTTTCCTTTTCTAATTTATGTATGTGTAGATTTACAATAAATAATTATTATACAAGTAAAAGAAAAAACCTTAAAAGGCTCAAATCAAAACATCTTACTCTTTTGCTAATTTGAGATTTGAAATAAAATAAAATAAAAATAAAAGGAAACAAATACTTTGAACGACAATGTAAAGCTTTTATTTGTTCACCAACGTTTCTGGAAACTAATTAAGTTTCCCTATCGAGCCAAAAATTTCAAACTTTGTACATTTCAAAACCAATCGTACAATAAAATGTTAGACACTTGACTATAATAATTTTAATTACAATTAAAATCAACAATAAAATTATTGTCAAAAATTTGAAAAAAATAATATACTCGTCATTCTGAAAATAAAAGAGAAAATATAAAATTATGAAACTTATKTCATTGTAAAGATCTTGATATTTTTATGTTTAACGTTTAACAATAATAATTCTATACATACATAGTATGTAAATAAATATCTTTAAACTAGGTACTTAAAATGTAATAGCTGTCAAAGTAGCCCTTTTGAAATTTGGTGGACTATTCACTAAATTTATCGGTATTTATGTTACACATACTTTTGTCGTAAACTAACAGAATTAACAAATCAATTTGATAAAAATAGTTTGATATAGGTGCAATTAAAAATTTACGATTGATTATTGATTATTATTTACACAAACAGGTTGTATCTAAAAATATAATTTATATTCACAGGTTTTTTTACCACTTTGACTTTTACCCTTTTTTTTTAAAAGTACATCAATAGAATTCAGAGTTGTATATAAAATATGCATCTATGTTGTAAACAAAAAATAATAATATAATATGGTTTTTACAAATAAAAATTGAAATACTTTGAGGACGAGTAGATATTTTTTAATTTCTTAGTTAATAGCTGAAACTTTTTCCKGTAGCTTAAATATTATTTAATGTTAATTTGAATACCATCATATATATTTCTTTGATGTTCCTAAATGTTATAATTATACAACTGTAACTTATAATCATCAATTATTATTCTATTATGTAAGAATCAAGAATTTTATACAGTATATTGTTTTAAAGTTGTATGAACTAATGTTTAAAGTTAAGTGAATTAGCTTAAATG